TGCTTGCAGTGGGAAGTCGCTCCAGATCAGATCCTCCATTATGGATGCAGAAAGCAGGATACAATTCCTTTCAAGAAAAGTATTAAAAACATTGTGAATGCAGGAACAACATACAATTACTTAACAAGGTGTAACAGTATTTACCAGAGTATCAGAATTCTGTATTGGACGTGTCCATCTGAGCATTACCAAACCAATCCTTTTATGTCTTCGAGAGCTCTGAAGGAGTGCAGCTTGAGAAGTGGCCATGATAAAATCATGGCCTCATAGGTTTAGGTAGGCAACCAAATGAATTAGTTATACAGAACAGAAAGAAGCTCTTCATTTTGTAACTCGCCGGTCAGTCTACCTACCTTTTCGTTAATGGCAAAGGTCTCTTGATAAGGACAGAGAAAGGATAAATCAAAAATATAATCAGAGGGGTCCCTAGGGGGGTGCGGGAAGCACCGGGTTACACCATCACAGTGGTTGCAGGAGTAGGATTCCAGCACAGTGACACCTGCCCCCGCTCTGGTGTAGCGGTAAAATGAGTATCCCCTGAAGCAAATACGCATGTGCCGGTTTCAGGCCGAAGAAGCCGATCTCTGGCTCTGTGCTAAAGATGGAGATCGGCTTCTTTGGCCTGAAACCAGCACATGCGCAGTTGCTTCAGGGGATACATATCTTCAAGGGATACTCATTTTACCGCTACACCGGCACTGCTCCTTCCTCTCTGGAGAGATGACACCACGTGTTACCGCACCGGGTGACACCAACCCTAGGGATGCCTCGGAGTACAAAGAATAAACTTTAGCTTTATCTGATGTACGGTATGGCTGGGATTACTCAGACACTGTAAAACAATTTGTGGTAGTTAGAGGATTTTGAAGTAGAGCTATTACTCTTTGATCAGAGTAGAGCCAGGCTGAACAGTCAGTTCATTGAAAAACCTGGATGTTGGCTCCACTTAGGGAGGATGTGTAATGTGAAGTTTACCTGCTCCTCCTATCCAGTCCCATAATCCTCAAGTGTGGTGCACAGCCTTAGAACCCTTTCCCTGGGATCACATAGACAAAAAAATGAAGTAATTTAGCACTCCTAAAATCTTCTGCAACATACAGTGGGTATAGAAAAGAATAACAAATGATAAAATAATAAATCTATAATAAATTATAGAATAATAAAATAGTCACATTTTGTTGCTTTGGAGCCTGAAATGAAGACAGACACAGTTTTTGTTTTATCCAGCTGTGTTTACTCAGTACAAGTTATAACACCCAACTGAAACATATAACATCAGCATGTCAGAAAAAAAATTAAACAAATTCAAAAACAGAATCACTGAGTTGGAAAAAGGATCACTCCCCATCCTAAAAATGACTTTTGCACGTGTAGCTAATCACCTTCTCAATGGCACACAAAGTCATTTGACTTTCAACTGTGATCGGCTCTGGTCATTTTGATTAGCTCAGCATGAAAAGAGCATTCCTAGAGCATTTCAGTCCCTGGTAGTGTAACTGAAGAAAACAATCACCTATGGTTGGCAACGCACTGTCAAAAGATCTCCAGGATAAAGTTGTGGAAAGGTACAAGTCAGGAGATGGATAAAAACAAAATTTAAAGGCTTTATCAATGCCTAGAAGCACAGTGAAGTCTATTATTAAGAAGTGGAAGGTATTTGGTGTAACGCAGACCCTCTCTGGATCAGGACAGCACTCCAAACTAGATGAAAGAGCCAGGAGGAATCTGGTCAGAGAGGCTACCAAGAGGCCTACAGCAACTCTGAAGCAGTTACAGGAATTTATGACAGAGTGGTCATTGTGTGCACGTGACAACAATATCACAAATTCTCCACAAATGTGGTTTGTATGGGAGGATTGCAAGAAAAAAGTATCTTCTCAAGAAAGGCCACACGCAGTCATGACTGAGCTTTGCCAAAACGCACCTTGAAGATTCTGAGGCTACATGGAGAAGATGAGACAAAATAGAATTGTTTGGCCTCAACACTAAATGATATGTCTGGCGGAAATCCAATACAGGTCACCATCCAAGTAGTACCATTCCTACAGTAAAGCATGGAGGTGGTAATATCCTGTTATTGGGGTTTCTCTGCAGCAGAGACTGGATCACTTGTCAGGATAGAAGGAAAAATGGATAGGGTAAAATACAGACAAATTCTTGAGGAAAATTTGCTGCCCTCTGCCAGGAAGTTGTCAATAAGAAAAAGGTTTACCTTCCAACATGACAATAACCCAAAGCACACAGCAAAAATGAGCACAAAGTGGTTGGAGGAGAAAAAGGCGAATGTCCTTGTATGGCCTAGTCAGAGCCCAGACTTGGACCCCATTGAAAATCTGTGGAATGACTTGAAGACTGCAGTCCACAAAATGGTCACCATCAAATTTAACTAAACTTGAGCAGTTCTGCAAAGAAGAGCAAATATTGCAAAGTCTGGATGTGCAAGGTTAGTAGAGACATATCCCAACAGACTAAAGGCTGGAATTAAAACAAAACGTGTTTCAACAAATTACTGGCATGAGGGGATGATCTTTTTTCCAACTCCGTGATTTGGTTTTTGATTTTTTAAAATTTCTTTTTGGATAGCTTTCATGTGGATGTTATATGACGTGCTGAGTAAATACAGCTGCATAAAACAAAAACTGTCTGTCTTCCTTTCAGGCCACAAAGCAACAAAATGTAATTATTTTAAAGGAGGGGTGATTCTTTTCTATACCCACTGTATTTTATTAAAAGCCCCATAATGCTCACAATGTAACAACCACTTATGGGTTTTAGCCTTGGTGGCCTTAGTCATAGCTGGTTACCAACTGCCTAGATCTGCCATGCAAAAGAGGCTTTCTTTTGAAGTGAAAGAGACATTGCGGTACTGACTTTTGCGAGTAGTGATGTATTTTGATAATTTTTTACTATACGAGTAATAGGGTTTTAATTTTGTTTGTATACACCGGTCTGATTTAGGCTCCATTCACGCTAGTCATGAGGCTTTAGACACAATGTCGCATGACAAGTTGCAGCCCATTTATTTCAATGGCATCCATTCCAATCTATGCAACTAAAGTTGCAGCTGCTTTAAAAATGTTCTGGCACTACTTTGTTTTTTGTCCCGTTAATGGGCAGAAATAGAAAATTGGTTTTGATATTTTTGAGACCAAAAAAAAAAAAAACAAATCGAAGAAAAAGTTTGGCAAAGTCTTCCAAACAGATGATATATTGAAAGGTTAATGTGTTTCTCGCCTGTTAAAAATCAAACTTTTCATAAGTGAGAAAACAAACAAAAAACGGATTCATTTCTGTCCATTGAACGAAAATTGGTCATTATATGATAGCAATATTGTCTGCTCTCACGATGGTGTGTTAGTTTTTCGAAAGAGTATGGCTAGCATTAGAGATGTTGCACCTTTCATCACCGTATGAGGGGGTCAAGTATTTTAACCTGCTGGGGATGGGAAAAAACAGACAGCTGTTGGTAACTATGACTAAAGCCATGTAGGATGAAATGTGTGAGCATTTAATACTCTATGAGCATTATGGAGCTTCAGCAAACAATATTACGGAGGATTTGCGGAGTGCTGGCATGCTTAGGTCCTCCACGGAGAGGGAACCTTGGGTAGAGGCTCTGCTAAGAGGGGATGCAGCTATGGTAGCCACTTCTGATAGAGAAGATCTGTCAGCCTCAAAACCCTCTAGAATGTTTGTATCTCTAATTAGGCTCCAGAACTTTTTCATCCTTCAGTAAGAGCTTGCCCTTTTAGGTCCTGTAAATTCTGGGCTGGTCTGTTCAGCTTGCTGCCATATCCATCCAAACTGTGACCGTCCAATAGCAGAACATTAAACATCACACTCTTTTACATTTAGATCTGAACTCAATATAAAATCTTCAGCTATGCTTTATATAAAACCACAGCTACATTATTTTTATATTTTACAATAATTTTCACTTACTGGCAACTAAATCTCCCCATGATTAAACATTACTTAGTCTAATCATTATTCTTTCCATCTTTAAGCGGGAGAAAAGGTCTTTGCACAGTCATTAATGGTGAAGTCGGGATATTTTTGAAGGCGAGCATTTAAATGCATCTCACTGCCAAATTGCTGCATTTTAGGGCTATCTCTACATAGGTTATTGCATTTTCTCCACTTTAATGGTTTAGTAATGTAACAGATGGAAATGCTACCGTAAAACCAGGGCCTCGCCAATGTAAAAACTGCATAATGAAAGCTATTATAACCAGAGAAGACATCAGTTCACCAGTGGAGAGGAGCCATTTATTACTCTGACCCGACTGGAACTTCTCTATCCTACCCACTCTAATACAAATGGAGAGATTTCTTTTCCTCTACAGCAACTTAATTTATTAAAAAAGTTATTAAGCTTTAATTAGTTTGGGAAAATGCTATCTTGTAACATTTAATCTGGCTCCAAATGGGCTCTTAATTTGTTAATGGTCTAACCTTATGCTACCAAGAGTCTACAAACATTAAATAATGTCTGGAATTTGTCAGGCGCGCAACACTATAAAGTAGGGACTATCGCCAACTTCTTTAGGGTAATATTTAAAATTCATTTTCTACAAGCAGGAGACTGAGAAGACTGCAAGATGGTTAACTCTGAATGTTTTACCAACAGTTCTTGTATGTAGGGGATTTACAGAGCACCAAGGTGGTTCAGTGGTTAGTGCTCCTGCAGAGGTCTTGGATTCCATCCCTACCATGTATTATTTGGAGTGTGTATAACTTGTCAGTTTCCTACCAGTACAAAGACAAACCAATAGGTTAAAGAGTGACCCCTCCCCAAAGCAGACATTTTGTTTTGGATGGAGTTTGGTTCAGTTCTCTACAGAGTTTTTGTGGCTTCTCAGATAAGCTACTAGCCTCAGTGACTTTAAAGTTCTCCATATTTTTTTACGAGAACATCCACTACAAATCACGATAGAGTTTTAATATGCTCAACTAGCTCTTCCATATCATGTAATCTTATTAAGAAGCATCAATCTGCTTTAACCACTTCCCGTCCAGCCCATGTATATAAACAGCCAGACGGGAGCATTGCAGGGGCGGGTTTATAAATGTCCTCCCCACTTCCCTGCTTGTGCACGCTCCCTGGGAACACTGATCGTTGTACGGGACCTCTGTGCGAGGTCCCGATTGTGATCACTGATTGGCCAATCAGTGATCACATGCAGAGTAGTAAGCAAGATGTCACTTCTGATATCATTGCTTACTACGTGTGAAATCTGTGAATGATCACAGAGATCACATGGTACAGGGCTTTTCACAACAGTACCATGTGACAAGCTGTGACCAATCACAGCTCACACAGTATTTCTCAATGGCTGCAAGAATGCAGCCAGAGAGAAGGAGAAATGATTGCTTTTACAGCCTTTATGGGTGTAAAAGCAATCAGTGTAAAAAAAAAAAAAAAAAAAATCTTCATCACCCCCCACAAGTAGCACAGTGTCACTATGGTGATGTAAAAAAAAAAAAAAAAAAAAAACAAACAAATAATAATATTAAAAAATAAAATAAAAATGTCAAAAACATTTCTGAAAAGTTATAATTTTTGGTTATAAACTAATTTGGGTTATTTTTTTTTTACTAAACAGATAGATGAATATGTTTTGGCCAAGATTTATGAAGAAAGATTATTTGCAAAATGTTATAAGAAAAAAACTTTTTTTTCAAAACGTTTGCACTTTTTCATTTATATAGCAAAAAAAATAAAAATCCCAGTGGTGAATAAATACCACCAAAATAAAGTTTTATCTATCTCAAGAAAATGCTAAAAAATACATATGAGTACAGTGTTGCATGACTGCGCAATTGTCATTCAAAGTGTAACAGCGCTGAAAGCTGAAAATTGGCCTGGACAGGAAGGGGGTGAAATTGTCCAGACTTGAAGTGGTTAAAACATGTTGTGCTATAGTAACTTTTCAAAAGCTTGCCTACATATAACATGGTATGGCTGTCTGTAATGGAGATACTACCTATGGTTACATTAGTGATACACAGCAAAATGCTTCTGTGGATTGCAGTGCCCAATGTGGACAGAGATGGACCTCAGCACCTGCACTACCACCTATTTGGCTCCATGCACACTAGCGCTTTTTAAGCTCCTAGGAGCCATTATCAGCATATTCTTTCTGCTCATATAAATTAAATACTGTTATCCTATGTGTCCATGCACACTGCTTTGAGCTATTAGCATTTTTTTTTGTGAGCTTCGGCGTCTAGGAACAGAAAAAAAAAAAAAAAAAAAAAACTTTGCAGATTTTTTTGGAGCGTTTTTTCCAGCAGAAAAAAATACTAAACGCTCATAAACGCTACTAAAATGCTCCTAACAGCTTTTTGTTCCTCTACATGTACTGTAAAAACACTAATAAAAAGCTAACGCTGCTAATGCTTCAGAACGCTACTAAAAAATGCTATTACCAGCATTTTTTTTCAGCTTATAAAAACACTAGTGTGCATGGAGCCTTAGCTGCAGTACACAATATTGTGCAACTCAGCTTTGCAACGAGGCAAGCTTTCTTTAGCCATTTAGACTGGCTGGTTTTGAGAGAGAGCACGTTTAGATGAACTTTTTGTTTGTATTTTTTTATACAATATTACGGAGCATATGACCGAACACATAAATATAGTATTGCTAAGCACTGCACCCTCTCGTCAAATCTCCATAAGGATAAATGGAGAATTCGCTTGGTCAAAGACAGTTGTTACTCAGCTGAAAACTTCAACTTGGCTGTGTTGGCTGAGATCTCCCTACAACAATCTTAGACAGCAATTAAAGTTTAATTCTGCCCTCCTCCACACTGTGAAGAAATCCATCTTAAAGGCAGTTGTGAACATACTATATTATAGGCACTTTCTAATACGTTATAACTCTCCTAGATTGTAAGCTCCAAGGGGCAGAGTCCTCCTAACCCTCTTGTATTGAACTGTATTGTTGCTGTATTGTCTCCCTTTACATTGTAAAGCGCTGAGCAAACTGTTGGTGGTATATATATATATAAATCCTGTATAATAATAATGCAGATGCCATAACTGCTTTCCCCTAGTGTCAGAAATCATCTTTCTTACAATGATCATGCATCTCTTCTGATAGTGTGGAGTGAGGTTACAGGACACTGTGCCTGTATTACACAGTCTGTTTAACATAAGGCAAGATGCAGGCTGTGCTTGAGAAGGAGGCGTGTTCAAGAAGGAGGCGTGTTCAAGAGGCAGGCTGTGATAGGGAGGGGGTCTGAGCCAGAGGCAGGCAGTGGTTGGTAAACGGGTGTAGTGGCTGAACAAACTGCCCAATACAGGCATGCTGTGTGCCTGCACAGTGTCCTGTACCTCTGAATGGCCAGCCAAAGTATGCAAACTGAACATGCTAACAACATCAGCTTCTGTGCTTTGTGTGGTCAGTTTAGCACAAGGAAGAAAGGTGACTGGCAGGATCAACCAGGTACATCAGATGGAAGTACATAAAAATGATAGAGACTATGATTTATAAAATACACATATGTGAACACACACATAGAAAAAATAAAATACACTAGATCCTACCCAGGTTGGCCGAAAGATGCGTGCTAATAGCCATGTTTTCAAGCCAAATTCTGCCAGTCTGATGCTGACAAACTGCAAATGACAGGTTTTAGCCTGCTGACAGACCATGGAGATGTTCAGAACAGAGACCATGACATTTTTGTGATGGTCCCACATCTACTAATTGCTATAAATAGACAACCTAAGGAGTATAATGTATTGTTTTGCGGCCTACCAATGTACCATCTGTAGATAGAAATATGAATACTCAATAATAGACAAGCCAAAACTTCCTCTGTCGACCGGCTCTGTGCTGTGTCAATAGGCAAATGTTCTACATGTCCTGCAGCTGGAATAGAATTTTGTTTAATTTAACTACAATTATTAGATATAAAAGGGCACGGAAGCAAAGAGATAATGTGCCACATATAGGAAATGGATGGAAAGTTGCAAAAATGTTACCTCCGCTTGATTTGGAAGGTAATAATAATGCACAGTGGCATCCCGAGGAAGGTGCGGCTCGCATCGGGAGACACCTACCGCACGGGGTGACACCGGACCCGCTCCACAAAAAGTTAAGTTGTAAAGCAAGCCGACGATCCCCACAGGATGTATCTGATCCATTCTGCAGGGATCGTCGGCTTTTTTTACAACTTACCTTTTCGTGGAGCGGGTCCGGTGTCACCCCGTATAGGTTGCAGGCCGACGATCCCCGCAGAATGGATTGGATCTGCGGATTGGGGAGCATAATGGATCAGATCTGCGGATTGGGGAGCATAATAGATCAGATCTGCGGATTGGGGAACATAATAGATCAGACTCTGATCCATTATGCTCAATCCGCAGATACGAACCATCCTGCAGGGATTGTCAGCATGCAACCTATACGGGGTGACACCAGACCCGCTCCACAAAAAGGTAAATTGTAAAGAAAGCTGACGATCCCCGCAAAATGGATTGGATCTGCGGATTGGGGAGCATAAAGGATCGGAGTCCAATGCATTATGCTCAATCCGCAGATCCGATCCATTCTGCGGGGAATGTCGGAGGGGGTGTCACCAAGTGTTATCGCACCAGGTGACACCAACCCTAGGGACGCCCCTGACAATGCATACAAGTTTAGTCCTCATGCACACGGGACGGTTTTACAGCTGTTGTTTTTGGCTTTTGATGGTTTTTTCTACAGCCAGTAAACCCCCCAGCATGTTATCCTCTGTGTCCATGCACACATAGACTGTAATCAGCGTTTTATGGCAGGGCCACTTTTTGGATACTAGAGGGTTTCTAGGAGTTTTTTTGGCTGTAAAAATGCTCTAACGCTGCAAAAACGCAGTAAATTGCTGCAAACCAGCATTTTTGGACTTTTTTTTACTAAAAAAAAATAATTTTGGGGGGGTAAAATAAACCTAAAACAACCGCAAACGCAGCTAAACACTAATACAAAAACGCTAAAAAACTTGTGTTTTTAATGTGACTTTACACAGCTAACGTTACCAGCGTTATTAAAGCACCCCGTGTGCATGCAGGCTAATAAGGACACAAAGCACTGGATTGAAGTAGAACAAAAACGTAACTACACTGCAGAGCATTGGTAGGCAAACTTCAATATCTGGGACAGTGATGTTACAGGGATAACAGTTACTGTATACTATACTATATATGATTAACTGTTTTAGTATGTAAGATGTTTGCCACACATTTACAAATGCAATCTTTAGAGCCTTGCAAGGAAAAGGCAGGAGGGCAATGATCTAAAGGGATTTACTTCTCTTGCTTCACAAACTTCTGCTGCCTGTTATGGGGTTCCTCTGAAACACACTGGGCCAACATCCAGTCCGGGTAGGTAGCAGCAGCGGTGCCAACAGTGACAGCAGGAATCTGAATGAGAACCTTCTCAGCACTGGATCTACAAGCTGGTACAGTGAATGTAAGCACAACGTACCCTAATAACTCACCGCCTAAACTACAATATGTCATTCTGTGTAAATGTAACTTAAACCATGCAAGATGTAAAATGTTTTCATTGGGAAAGCGCGATAGAACTACATCTGTCACTATATTACTGAAGCCCAGTGACAGAAAGGCCACTCCTTGGTGGAATATTTGTGAACAGGTACAATGCATATTGGAAAATAATGACAATTTTTACATGCCAACAATTCACATTAAAATGTTCCTTGTGTAAACTGCAGCGTGCATTCATACTGAAGATAAATTGTAATCCTTTGCATGGCTGTTCCATATTGTGACCTTGGTTTGGCCTGGCTTTCATTGATAGGGGCGTGAGGTTATTCATTGATAACTTTTTGACATCAGTCAGAACTCATTTCAAACTATTTTGACAAATACAAGCTCCATTATGTATCAGGACAAAACAAATATTCTCACTTGTCTATTCATCCAGCGTATATATAGGTCCCCCCCTCACCCCTTATTGAAAGAACACAGTCTAATGATTCACTAATTGCCCGCTAGTGATCGCTTTCATGTTCATTTTCAATACTTCCTCTAGGTCGTAGGTGTATTTGTTTTGGTCTATTCACAATTATTTATCTGGGGTGAATGCCAAATTCTCTGATGGTAGTACAACTATGCCTCAAATCGCCTTTTAATGTAAAAGGTCATGGACTAGCAGAACCCCTCGTGCCCGTGTTTAGTGATGTTATCGTCTTATACAATAGAGATTCTTTGCTGTAAGTACACACACCTGTGCATGATATAAAGCAAATGTTTACGTTAAAGAACTTTCCCAAAATAAATCATTCACAATTTTCTCTTAGATTTCATTTTGATGGGTTTACAGTTGGGTTCTATATCCTGCACTGGGCGACATAACACTGAATGTTTCGCTAATCCAGCCAGAAGAGGCCAGTCGTACACATCCAAATATTTTGCAAGTGAAACAGGTTGAGAATTGCTTTCAACAATGTAACCATTATTAACCATTAGCCGCCCGGCCAATGGCCGTTTGGCGGCTTGAAAAGCGCTGCAGCTTTCCGGGTGCACGCCATTTGGCGTGCTCCCCCGCACATGCGCGGTTGCAGAGCGACGCAGCAGTGCGATCTGTCACCCCCGCCCGTGCACCTCGGACACGGCCGATGACAGATCCGAGTACCGGCTCCCGTTGCTGGTACCATGTGACCTGCTGTGACCAATCACAGCAGGTCACATGTATACAATGGATGGCTTCATTCATGATGCCATCCATTGTATACTAGTGCCTAGCTGTGAATGGTCACAGCTAATCACATGCACATGTCATGTGATTAGCTGTGACCAAATCACAGATAAGCACAAAAAAAAAAAAAAAAAAAAAAAAAAGCTGAATGAATCGATTTCATTCAGGTAAATGCTTGCTTATAGCAAAGTAATTCTTTGCTATAAGCAAAATTGTGTAAAATAAAAAAAAAAAAAATACTGATCACTTCCCCAAAGTAGTACAGTGTTACTATGGTAACATTGTACTATTTTGGTCATAGTAAAATATGAAAAAAAATCTTAAAAAAAAATAAAAAAAATGTAATAAAAAATTAAATATAATAAAAAAATTAAAAAAAATTAAAAAAAAAAAAAATATTTTTTTTTTCATACTGTCACTAGTCAGTGTCGCTGTTCACCGCCATGCCAGTTATATGATGATGCTGTACTGCACTGGTGACAGTATGTAAAAAAAATAAATAGTGAAAATAATTTTTTTTTTTTTCATTTTCCGAAAAATTATGACAAAAAAAATACAACTTCAAAAACTCGCCATGCCTCTTATGAAGTACGTCGGACTGTCTACTCTGCAAAAAGGGGTCATTTGGGGGATATCTGTACTGTTCTGACATTCTTGGACCTCAAGATATTAGATTGGCTGTCAGTACTTCAGGATTGATCAATATTCAGATCTATACCATAGTTTGTGAACTCTATAACTTTCCTACAAACTAAAAAATACATCCTAATTTGGGTTATTTTCACCAAAGACATGTAGCAGAATACATCTCGGCCTAAATTTATGAAGAACAATTATTTATTTGTAAACTTTTATAACAGAAACAAAGAAAAATGTGTTTTTTTTTTTTCAAAATTTTTGGTCTTTTTTTGTTAATTTAGCAAAAAATAAAAACCCCAGCGGTGATTAAATACCACCAAAAGAAAGCTCTAGTTGTGTGAAGAAAATGATCAAATTTTAGTTTGGGTACAATGTTGTATGACCGCGCAATTGTCATTCAAAGTGTGAGAGCGCTGAAGCCTGAAAACTGGCCTGGGCAGGAAAGGTGTAAAAATTGCACGGTATTGAAACGGTTAAAGAGTTTGAAACATATTAATCTCCAATATATACCAAAAACCAGCGCTCAGATCTCCATGCTACACAGAAAACACAGAATCAAACACTGAGGTGCCGTCCTTAACCACTTCCAGTCTGGACACTTTTACCCCCTTCCTGTCCAGGGCAATTTTCAGCTTTCAGCACTATCACACTTTGAATGAGAATTGCGCGGTTATGCAACACTGTACCCATATGAATTTTTTACCATTTTTTTGAGACAGATAAAACTTTATTTTGGTGGTATTTATTCACCGCTGGGATTTTTATTTTTTTTGCTATGTAAATGAAAATGTCCAAAAATTTTGAAAAAAAGTGTTTTTCTTATAACATTTTGCAAATAAATAATATTTCATCATAAATCTTGGCCAAAATGTATTCTGTTTATCTTTTTAGTAAAAAAAAAAATAAGCCAAATTAGTTTATAACCAAAAATTATAATTTTTAAACATTTTGTTTTACATTTTTTTTATTTTTTTATTAATTTTATTTTTTTTTACATATTGTCACCCTAGTAGTACAGTGTTACCATGGTGACACTGTACTACTTTTGGGGGGTGATGAAGATTTTTTTTTTACACTGATTGATTTTACACCCATATAGGATGTAAAAGCAATAATTTCTCTATCTCTCTGTCTGCATTCTTGCAGCCATTGAGAACTACTGAGTGAGCTGTGATTGGTCACAGCTTGTCACATGGTACAAGGCTGTTGTGAATAGCCTTGCATCATGTGACCTCTGTGAACATTCACAGATTTCACACGTAGTAAGCAATGGTGTCACAAGTGACATCTTGCTTACTACTTTACATGTGATCACTGATTGGCCAATCAGTGATCACATGATTGGGACCTCGTACAGAGGTCCCGTCTGACGATCAGTGTTTCACTGTGTCCGGGTCCACCCGACCCTGCAGTGCCACCATCCGGCCGTTTATATACAACGGCTGGTCGGGAAATGGTTAATAGATCAAGGAATCTTGATGCTGGCAAAAAAGAATAAAACAGGGCGCACTCTCCTCATGCATTACCGTGATATATAGGAAACGTATTGTAAAATCACAAATGCATACTCACAAACCAAAAAGGTCTAAAAACAGAGACAAGGAGCCTAAGAAAACAATTGTGACAGTGATTATCATTTGGTCTCATATAGAAGAACCATCAATATGTATTTAATTTTCCGTTCTGAGGAAGGGAGTTTGACTCCCTAAACGCATTAGTACATTTCACCCAAGGACCTCCGCTGTCTGTGATTGTCATCTTTGGCTCCTTGTCTCTGTTTTTATGACCTTTTTGGTTTGTGAGTATGCATTTGTGATTCTACAATACGTTTCCTATATATCGCGGTAATGCACGAGGAGAGTGCGCCCTGTTTTATTCTTCTATTAGATAATTTGTGTGATTTCCTGATGATCGGACCTCTCACGCGCAATCAAGTTGATGACTTGGCAGTCTGTTATGAGCATGCATAAAGGTACAGCTTGGCTGGTTTCCCACTGTCAGAGAAACCCCGATCTTTTCATACCTGTTTGTATTTTTTGCAATACTGTGTTGTTGTAGGAATCTGCTTGCTTTCCCTCTACCTTCATCCCTAAGACTCAGAATACACCTAAGTTGGAGATGGGTCAATACTACAGACACCTATATACCGTTCTATATGTATTGCCATTGAAAATGATAACAAATATTGTTATAAAGAGGGAAAAAAAACTGCTCCTTTTATGTGAAACCTCAAACTGTGTCTATCATGTGACGGCCCTTTCATGTCTATCGGTAGCTTGTTTTCACAATGCCCATCATTCTGTCCGTGAAGGAATGGCCTAAAGCTGCCCACAGGCAGCAACCTGGCAAAACTTTCCATATTCATATAAACTCAGCGACCTATGTATGTGGAGGAAGAGGGCTAACAGGTTCTTCCCCTGAGAAGGGTTGGCCAATGAAAGCCTGGAGAAATCAAAGAGTGCCCACAAATATAATTATTTCCTGACCTAACTAGTTAACTGCACTTGGCATCCTTTAAAGTGTTACTAAACCCAAAACAGTAAAATATCAGTCTGTATGTGCAGTAAAGCATGCTTGTTATACTCACTGTGGAACCTAAGGGGTTAATCCTCTGCAGTGTGTAAAAAACTTGTTTGGTCCTGTTTTCTCTGCCCCTGCTCTTGTTCAAATGTCCACCTGATAAGACAGACTGAACCCGTAGTCACATGCACATGCTCAGTTTGGTGTGTATTGCTAGAGAGGTTTTTTTGTTTTTTTTTCTTGGGAGAGTGCATGTGATCAACATAGGGCCAATCAGCACTGTCCAGACAGAGGGTCAGGGGGTTTTACATCCTCTTAGAGCAGAAAGAAAACTCCTCCTACAAGCTTTAACCAGCGTTCTGCTGAAGTCACAAGACTGCTCTAAATGCTGATGAGAAAAGGTAATTAGCAGTTTATATTTACTAAACTAATTGCATATCCATGTTGTGTGTACCGTGGGAGACCAGATAGAGTGAATGCAGGGTCCTGGGTTTAGTAACACTTTAACTGTGGACACCTTAAAGTGGTTTATTAAAAATGCATATTGATCCAGTTATTGTATTAAAAACATAAATAACTCTTTATAAAGTGCACTTAAAGGCATAAATACTGTACAGGGACGTGATTAAAAAAAAATGTTGCAAATGCATTGAAAACCAATTAATCCATTCATATAGTAAAAATACATTAAAAGGCATTATGTTCAATCGATATTCATTCATAAACCGAAAATTACATTAACCGAGGCGTTAGTAAACCGAGGTATGCCTGTACTATCCCTACTGGAAGATTTCCCCTCTATTACTTTTCTGGAGAAAACCCAATATTTGGGCTTTTCTTTTACTTTCAATTCAAATGGTAAACAGGACAAGTAGAGAGGGCCTTCCTAACGGGGACACACAGCAATAAAAATGGACAATTCTACACAAAAAGATCCGGCCAGCACAAGGTTGAGAAACATTTACATAATCAATGCCCAATCTGATTGAAGTTAATTTCTGAATTCAAAAGCACGAAATGACCTAATGTTATTCTGCGGAAACAATACTCACTTTAAAACCTAATAATGGGGGCCGAGAGCAACTCGTCACAAATTTCAGTAGTTTTCGCTTCTCCTCATCTGTAAAGTTTTCAACAACTCTCCAGAAAATTTTAATTACAAGGTGATCCGCTGAGTATCCTCCTGGAATAAAGCACATTATACAAGAATATGCAGATTATAAAGAACATTTTACAAAGAAATGGAATTCCTATGTTGCTTTGTTACAGATAAATATCTGCCACTAAAAGTCAGAAAAGATACACTGAAAATACAAACAGGTTGACTAAGAAATATATCATTACCTGGATACAATCTGCATTACTCCTTTTAATGCACACGGAATTAAAAAAAAGATTTATTTATACTGCAAGCAGTTTTTCCTATGGATCCCCTATATGAACATAAACTTTATTTTCTATACTTGGCCTAGCATTCATGACAGTGCAATTATTATTTAGCATGACACCAACAGGAGGCTGTTGTCAATATATATTTCTTTATGTAGCCACTTTTTGCTGCTGTAATAGCTTTATGTATGTTTCTGATCTGAATCTGATGCCCTTTATGAAATCTTAAACATCCAGTTTATTAGATAAAAGTCACTTTTAGTAAGGAAGGGGTTACTAGTTGATGCTAACTGTCCTATCTGGTAATGGAGAAGGGGAACGTAAGCAAGGTTCTTCATTACATCAGCAGATCACATTTTTTAAACGTGCAATTGAAAACATCTGTATATCAGTTGTCTGAACACTTGATCTGCACATGCTTGCTCCAGGCCGAAATAGTGAAGCATCAGGATGATAGCCCCAGGCTCTGCACCTTTAAAACATGTCATTAGTGGCAACCCTAATATTTCTATCCGGATAGGCTTTCTTTAAGTTATATCCAAACTCAAACCTTTTTTGGATATCATAAGGAATTGTTAAAACTCCAGTCGGCAGCCTGTGTTCCATTGAGTGAGATTCTGTTCACTGTCTTTTCTGGAGACACAACAGGAAGTAAAAGGCAAAGTGATGGATCCATCTTAGACAGCTGTCAGTGGAATATACTGTATGTCACCACTTTGAAAGATTTTCCCTCATATCCTGTTCTGGTGGCAACTGTCAAATTCTGGATTCTCCATTATTTTCTGTATCACTGACAATGGTTACCAGGACATATAAAGAAGGCAAATCTCCCCAGGGAGAAGCAGACAGCAATAAAAAGCTGACTGAGGTTTAACCCTTTGGCACTCTATCCAAAGCTACCCCCCCCCCCCCAGAAAACCCATAGATTTCAGGTACCTATTTAGTTATTGGCTACTTTCTTGTCTTTGCTCAGGCAAGGGCCTGCTACTGCAGTGCGTTAAAAGCACACTTCAACTGCATCACCAAACATCTTGCATTTGCAGCATTTTCAACAGCAGCAGCACACACCATACACAATAGCACAGCACAACACAAAGGCACCGAGAAGGTGCATTGAGGTGCTGTTTAGAATAGCTAGTGCCACCACATACATGTTATGTACAAAGAGGTAATATGCACACTACAGCAGTAGAATGGGCAATCCTAAAGGATTGGTTCACCTTTTAAAACATGTTACACCCTCCCCCCCCCCTTGCCCACCCTTTCCCATGACAGTGGGCAGGGGCTCCTCTCCCCCGCAAGCACGGTCACATTTTAAAATGGGCACCACTATGTAGGGCCCTGTGATATGTGAATGTAGAAACTACAAGTCCTGTCCACCACTGCAACAGATGGTCTCAATGGACTGCAGGGGTGCTGATGAGCGCTCTCGTAGTTCATTGACACTTCCTCCAGATTTCAAACAGAAAGTCCGTACAGAGAGAGGTACAGGCAAGAAAGCTTGAGGCAATGTCTGCAGGAGTTTGACACTCCATCAGTAATCCACTGATTGTGGTTGTAATACTCTGGAGGCTCCTATGAAAAATACTATAAATGCATCCTGCAAAAATATGTGCATTTTTTAAAAAAAAAATTAAGCAAGGTGAACATAGCCTTTAAAGTGGTTGTAAGGCCGAAGGTTTTTCACTTTAATGCATTCTATGCATTAAGGTAAAAAACATTCTAGGTGCAGCTCCCCCCTACTTCAGCTCCCCCTCACCTAAACCCCATCTCGATCCAGCAATGTGCATGAGCGCTGCTGTTTTCCTGAGTCTCTCTCTCTCCTCACTAGCTCACACAGCAGTGGGAGCCATTGGATCTTACTGCTGTCAATAACAGCCAGTGAGCCAATGGGGAGAGAGCAGGGGGTGGGGCCAAGTCACACTCTGTGTGTGAATGGACAATTTTCATTCACAAGAGCGCAGCTTGGGAGTGAGCCTGCTCAAGAGGCATGTTATTGGAGGCACTCGACGGCAGACACAAAAAGAAGAAAATAAGGGCTGTTCTGCCCAAAACCATTACACAGAGGGGGAAAGTATAACATGTTTGGTTTTTTTTTTTTGTTTGTTTGTTTGTTTTTACAGCCCCAAGAATCACTTTAAGGAGGAATGGCACTGTTACAAGAGATTTTTCCGGCTCGAATGTGAATATTATATAGACTACTGGGTGCGTGATATGATTGAAATGCTCTGCCAACTAGTATATTTAGTTCATACTAAAAGTTAGGGTTGGGTATTGGTTTCACCTGAGCACTATATGAGATACATACCTGAATAGTTTGTGAAGGACTTCAAGTCATCAAGACAGATTGGTA